GGGTGCCCCGGGCCCCGGGGCGGCGCGAGCGCGAGGCCGCCGAGGTCACAGGGCGCCGGGCAGCCCGGCAGCTCAAGTGTCCTGACCTGACTTCTTCAAATTGCAAAGTCACGACCCTGAAGTTGGCTCCTGTGGCCGATAACTCCTCCGAGAGCCGGGATTGAGACGCCGCGAGCCCCGGCCCAGGGCTGAGCGCGCCCCTCGGCGGGACGACAGGCCCCCACCGACAGCCTTCCCTTTGGGAGGCTGAGCCGTAGGCGTCAGCTGCAGACGCCAGTGCCGGTGTCTCCAGTGTCGCTCAGGGAGGCACCGGGGCGGCCCTAGAAACCGAGCTCTGCCTTTGCACTGAGTCAAGAAAGACACTTTTTCTCTCTCAGCTAATATGTTGCCATCATGCTTTGGGCTCTTCCCATTTATGAAGTTCTTAGTTGTCTCTTGTGCATTCTGCCTCTTTTTTTTATTTGAAGAAATTATCTATTTTCATAAGTCACGCAGAAGAAGTTTACCCAGTCTTTGCTAATTTCATTCTGTTTTTAAACCTTAAAAATAGTCTGTACTTATTAGGTGATACCAAAACTCCCAAGAAAGTAGGAAAGGACTTCTCAAAACTACATGTGAGTCAGTACAGTAACTTGGAATAGTCACCTGTATTTTTGTTTCACACTTTTTCTTAAAATCTTTCTGTCATATTGAAGCATTGAGTTGACCACTAACAACATATGTATCTAGGCTAGAAAGAGTGTTATTGGATTGATATCATCTGGCCTCAGAGAGTAACTGGGGCTTTTACAGGGAGCCAAGNCGGGCCAAGCGCTCAGGTTTGCAGGCCGGGCGCCACCCTCCCGCGAGCGCCCTGGGCGGGGGGCAGTGGGGCCCTGGGGTGAGCCTGTGCCCGCGGGTCCCCCCTGAGAAAGCAGTCGGCGGCCCGGCCCTGCGCCCGGTGTCCCCCACCCCTGGAAACGAGACGGCGGCCGCAGCGTTATCCCGGGTGTGTCCCCCAAGAAAGCAGGCGCTGGCGCCGACTTGGCCCGGAGGCTTCCTCCTCGGGACCTGACGGCGACCGCGTTCCCGCCAGCGAGAGTCCTTAGGAGGGCCCTCCCCGCGGCAGGTGGCGGCCTCCGAGCCGGGGCTGTGACCTGCTCGTCGCCTTAGCTCATGTCCCAAATGATGCGCCCCAGCCAGCTACGTTGCGGCAGAAGTGGAGGGGGCTGCGGCTCGGGGAGCGCAGGNGTAACTTGGAATAGTCACCTGTATTTTTGTTTCACACTTTTTCTTAAAATCTTTCTGTCATATTGAAGCATTGAGTTGACCACTAACAACATATGTATCTAGGCTAGAAAGAGTGTTATTGGATTGATATCATCTGGCCTCAGAGAGTAACTGGGGCTTTTACAGGGAGCCAAACTCTGCTCTCAACATGTTTTAAAAACATTTCTCTTTTCCCTTAATGAGTATATAGGGCTTATTTTCTTCTCTAGTCTTTATTTNGCTCTGCTCTCAACATGTTTTAAAAACATTTTTCCCTTAATGAGTATATAGGGCTTATTTTCTTCTCTAGTCTTTATTTCCTCTGAAACGCATGTCATAACAGTAAGCTCTGAAAACCTACCTTCTCTTTCTTAACTGAGGAAAAAATCCAAACTTTACAAAGTAGTTTAGCGCGTAGTATAAATGTTGGATGTTCCTATATGATTGCATCATAGTAGTAAAAGAAATACCATTTGAAGTCATTATTCCAAATTAGTTGAGGTTTCAGAGTTCCTGATAACTCTGAAGTACAGACTCTAAAATTTCTTGAGTGAATCATTGATGTCCTGTGTCATTAAAAACAATCAACCCCAGTCTTGTTACTTTTAGAAGAATACATAAACTGAGCTTTGTTTGAAACTTGGACTAACCTGACTCTGATAGAGACGTCACTGCAAAGTTCTGAGCATTGTTACATAGTCTCATGATTACTTCACTGCTCAATGGAGGACGCTACTCTTAGGTGATGTTTGCTAAGTGGATATTATGTATTCCTGCCTAATCTATATAAGCAACCGTAACTTATCAAAGCAAAGCAAATTTTCAAGTCATAAAAAGAAAATACAATGATAATGAGCCTTGATTATTGTCTTTGTTGCACACTGCATCATGTTAATAACTGCTCACACTGCTTTCAATTAATCTAATCGTGATTGCTTCTAACCTCCACTAAACAGTTGTGAAAATTGCTGTAGTTTAGCCTGTGCCGTTTATGATTAGAGCCAACAATTTGAAATGGCCAGCTCACCTGATGCAGTCGTCTCTTCTCCACGAGTTTTCTTAAGGTCTGGTAAGTGTGGAGACCCCCAAAGGGGGTAATTTTAAATATCTTTGTTTTTAAAGTTTGATGTTGCTATATGAATGCATTTTGATTTTGTGCCTCTTTGGAGGGCCCACACGTGAACACCATTGTTCTGCTACTGTTAGGCTCCAGTTTGCACTGTATTTTGAATGTGGCCTCCCATGTCGTTGTGCAGGCATGAGAAGTTACAGTTGATCCTCAGTTGTCAAATGGGTACATAAAAAGCTTCCTCAGTGATTTTTGTATTCTTGAATAATGGAAATAACTTTTATAAATTAGGAATTTTTGGTCAGCATCCCAATTATTTACTATTCATGAAGTCCCTGTGAAGTAGGTATTTTGATACTTTTTATAGACAGGAAAGGGAAGCTCCCTTGGTGAAGAGATGAAGCAGCTTTCTGCAGGTCCTGAAACTTATGTTTCAGAGCCATGCACTTTGCCTTCCATCCCAGGGCTTCTTAGTGGAAGGGCTAGATGTGGGCACAGTGGCTTTCGGACTGTCTTGTTGGTAAGAGTCCTTGCCAGTTGGATAAAAGCTGTGGAGCTGCTCCCCCGCTGAGTGCCCAGGATGTTGAAACAGGTTGGAGGATGTTCCAGCATTCCAGGAAAGACCATGTATGGATTCCCGTTTGGAACCTAGGCCTTTGGATGTGGCCAGCCTCACTTTAAAGAAGAAAAGGGCTTAGTTAAGTGGCCATGGAACTGGAATAAAGACTAGTCTTTAGGGCTTTTTTCCTGTAGGTTGTGAGCCACCTTGGGCCTTTCTGGGAGAAAGAAGCCTGTTGGCAAGGGGCTGCTTTGTCCCTAAGGTACTTAAAGCAGAATCAGTCAGAGTTCAAGGCTCAGAACCCATTAACAGGTAAATGTAAGATGAGCCACCAAAAAGTGGCAGTGAAAACTTTCTTTATGGTTTCACCATAACCCTCTATTTCTACTTATATATCAAGTCCTATTTTGTCAAGATGGAGGAGAAAAATCTTGAAGACAAGAAATAAGAAATAGCTCAGGGAAGAATCATAAATGGGAGATAAGAAAGCTTCTCCTTTAAGGAACAAAAATGATTCTTGTCTTCAGTTGTCATCAGCTAAATGAAAAAATAGTATATGTAACATTGCCAGTTTTCAATTTCTGATTTAATCTTTGAACTAAGAAAACAAGAGGACATGCATCTTTGGACTGTATTTTCTTTCTTTTAAGCACCAGGCTGTGGTTCCCACTTGGGCAGTCCAAACAGAGACTCAGCGAGTTTTCACACTAGCAGCCGCTTGGCAGTTATGGGGAAACAGAATGCTAACCATACGATAAGCTTTCATGCATCAGCAGTCCTGAAAATGTCAACACCTTGGAGCTGTGCGTTAACATTACATAGTGTTTGAGGGCATATACAGGAAGCTTTTCCAGCACCGTATTATTAAATTGAAATAGAATGCACCAAGAAACAAGATAGAAAAATACCGAACTTCACTGTTATAAGACATTTTAAAGACTGATTCCTTATACCTGACACTATTTACACTTTTAGAGTTTCCTCTAACCAGAACTTAGTGATGACTCTCAAGAAATACTGAAAACTGTTATCTCTTAAACACTCAGAGGGGTTTGCATTTGTAGTTTGTTTACTAATTTAGAAATACCGCATTTATGTTGGAAATGATTGTTTTCCCGGGTTGTAGTTCCTTGGATGTTATCATTGTAGGAGAGTGTTTTACGGAGACATGTAACAGTCATTTTAAAGCATGAGTCCACGGCTGAGCTCTCCCTGGGCTATGGCTAGAAGCTATTCAGTGTGACCCAGAGTGAAAGCCAGTGTCTTGCTTTTGGAAAATCAGTTTCAAATGAACCTAGACTGTTCTATGTATTTTAACCCTCTTTATCCCTCTGGAAATTGTGTCTGCGATTTTGTCTGTTTCTGCTCTTTCTCGAATGTAGTATGTCCTGAATTTCTGTGTGATGCTTGAGCTGTGCTCAGACTGCTAATGTGTTGGCATGTGCTGTGGTTGAATATTACTGAATGTCCCGGTTTGCCTCCCCTCCCCNGCATATTCCACAACCACAGTAAGTTAACTACTAGGGAAAGAGTGTAGCATCCCGAACCCAGATCGCTGTGGTTTCTCATGTGACCACCACAGCCACACAGTGTGTGAGCCTAGCGGAGCTGCTCAGTTGGGGCAGGGCGTCAGCATCGCAGTGCAACCCTTTTGTAGTAATTGCAGCATTTTGTGACGAGGTAGGAAATGTCTTGGCATTTTTACTTTTATTCTTAGATGATAAGATTATTTATTTATTTTTAAAAATATATCTTTATTGATTTCAGAGAGAGGAAAGGAGAGGGAGGGAGAGATAGAAACATCAGTGATGAAAGAGTCATTGATTGGCTGCAGCCCACAACCCGGGCATGTGCCCTGACTGGGAATCAAACCCCGATCGCCTGGATCCTAGGTCGACGCTCAACCGCTGGGCCACGCCCAGCCGGGCGATAAGATTATTTAAAAATTACTCTTTCTAGGGAATAAGAGGCACAGACCTTCAGTAATAAATAAGTCACAGGATGTGTACAGAACAGGGAAGATAGTAATTTTACAGTAACTCTGCTCAGTGACGGGTGGGTACTGGACTTATTGTGGTGATCTCGTTGTGAGGTCTGTAAGTGTCAAACCACTATGGGGTACACCTGAGACTAATAGTATAGTGTAAGCCAACTGCACTTCAATTAAACATAAATTCTAAAAAACTTATTTCCTTCAAAATTAAAAAACTGACTTCTTAAAATGAATATTCAGCTTATCTCTGTCTTGGCTATTTGTCAACACCTAAGTGAGTTTATCAGCATGTGATTTTCCTTTACTGATTTCTTTTTAGCTTCTCTAATTAATTTTCTTTTTTTTTTCTCTGTTTTTTCTTTTCTTTTTCCCCCAAAGTCAAGTCCCCTTCCATCACTATCTATCTTCCCTTTGCCCAGTTCTACCTCCCCACCCCCTTCCCTCTGGTCATCACCATACTGTTGTCTGTGTCTGTGAGTTGTTGTTTTTTCCTTAGTCCCTTCACCTTTTTCACCCGGCCCCCCACCCCTCCCCTCTGACAGCTCAGTCTGTTCTCTGTGTCTGTGAGTCTGTTTCCATTTTGTTCATCAGTTAAGTTTGTTCACTAGATTCCACATGTAAGTGAGATCATGTGGTACTTGTCTTTCTCTGACTGGCTTATTTCACTTAGCATAATGCTCTCCAAATCCATCCATGCTGTCACAAAGGGTAAAATTTCGCCTGGCTGGTGTGGCTCAGTGGTTGAGCTGGACCTTTAAACTAGGAGGTCATGGTTCTCTTCCTGGTCAGGGCACATGCCCGGGTTGTGGGCATGATCCCCAGTAGGGGGCGTGCAGGAGGCAGCCGATCAGTGACTCTCTCATTACTATTGATGTTTCTCTCTCTCTCCCTCTCCCTCTCTCTGAAATCAATAAAAACATATTTTTTAAAAAAGGGTAAATTTTTCTTCCTTTTTATGGCCAAGAAGTATTCCATCGGTACATGTCCCACACCTTTCTTATCCACTCATCTACTGATAGGCACATGGGCTGCTTCCAGATCTTCGCTGTTGTAAATAAGGCTGCAATCAATATAGGGGTGTATTTTCTTTTATTAATTTGATTTGATGGGCATATCAATACCTGGTAAAGTTTTATGGTATATTTTGGGCAAAACTCAACTTTTTAATGTGTGACACTCTCTTCTGTTTAGACATTATATAGTAGTCTTGTTTTGAGGCTAAGTTAGCAGTCAATTAATAAAAAAGCTCTTGTGGTGTGAAGAGCCCATTAACCTGAGGATCTTGGGCTTTTTCCTTGAAGAACCTAAGAAAGGTACACATTTTGTGTTCAGCTGTATATGACTCTAATCCTGCCTCTGCTTACTACATGTTTGAACTTGAGCAAATTACTTTGTATCTCTGACACTTAGTTTCTTTGTGTGTGAAAATAAGGGTAATAAGACCTACCAAAAGGGCTTATTGTGAGGATTAAATAAGATGTTATATGTAAAACACTTGTATTTAGTGGCTGGCCAATACATTCTAAATACGTTCTTGTTTCCTAAAAACACATGTCTTTTACAATATAGTTGGTATGTATTTAAAAGTAGAACTTACACAAAACCAAACATGGCTGCTTAGCTTTTTCCCTCATTTGGTATCTACCCAAGTGGCCATTTGATGAAGTAAACTCATCATGCTAAGATTCAATAAGCTTGAATGCGATTACTCAGAAAGTAGCTTTTACTTTAATGTAAGTCTATTTCATTTTTGTCAATAATCACAAGTCTAAAGAAATTGTGACAGTTTCCATGGACACTCCTGTCAGACAGCAGGAGAGCAGTCACTATTTTATATATAGTTAGAAGAAATTTTTGTCTTTTATTGGTAGGCACTGGGTTCTTTTCAGGTAGCATGGAATTTTCGGAAGCACTTGTAAGTTGTATACTGCTGTGAGCTCTGATCTCTTCCTTCTGGGTCCTGTCCTGCAGTCTTAGAAAGTTGAGGAAATAGAGGCCACACCATAGGGTTTAACTCCCTGGGCCTGAATCTCCTTTACCTTTTGCTGACTCTCTTTCTGTGCCATTTTCCTCAGCAAAGATGATGCTTCAGATTTTATTGGTGAAATGGTTTCATGAGGAGTCCAGTGCTTGTCCCACTGCTTTGGATTGTTCCAGAATACTCACATTGTGCGTCCTAAAAGCTATTTTTCTCTTGCTGTTTTATCTTCAGACTTCTGTGAAGCCAGAGAAAGGGTAAGGGGAACTCCCCAGAGTTCCTGACTCTGATCCTACTGAACATGTCCAAATAGGTCTCAAATGTAGCCGGGCCAAACGGAACTCATTTTCACTCCTTTCCAACCCCAACATGTGCCTCCCGTAATCTTGTCATTTCAGTAACTAAGCTGTTACTCTCCCACTGCTCCTCTTCACCCCCTTTACTCAGTTCATTTGCAGGTCCTTTCTACT